ACGTTTATCATAGAAATTTCGATTTCATGACTTTTCTTATGTGTCACATGTGTATCTTACAATAAGCTATTTTTAATGATGAATTTTCAACTCGCGGAATTTAGTCAACATAATTTTAGTAGTGATAATTAAAAATTTGAAGCTATACATACACCTAAATGTGTTGTAACAGAACAAGCAATTTAATGATAGTTCAAAAATATAGTTTTGCTAAACACACTTACTCACGTACGCTTTTTACTCCTCGTGGAGCCTAAGCCACTAATCTACAATCTCCAAACAACACTGTCCTGACTTAGTAAACGCAAGCAAAGAATTGGCGACAAGACTGGTGCAATTATGGATCTTGTAAAGTGGAATTATGGTTGGAGCAACAGGTAAAACTTACCCGAATGTTGGCAGACGCGAAAATTACATCTACCTAGCACCTCTAATTCTACAACTGCACCGTCATTTCAGGTCATTGCAAACAGTATTACCGAATTTCACTACGATCCTGATGCCGATCGTACTTCAGATATGTGGTTTCTGTGTTATGAGGATCTACTTAAATTTGATTTTGCCATTCAAAGATAATACTTGGAAGGTTCGTTCACTACTTCGGAAAATGAGTTCAAGTGGGTAAAATAATTACTACAACTGTAGTATCACTGTAGTGTCACGATTTCGACGGCACATGATCGATCTTTACGGCATCTAGCCTGCTAATCTCACAGTTAGACATCTACTGAGTCTTTCATTCCGTTCCAAAACTGACTTTTAAAGACTTTTCCTGGTGTTGATAGTAATGTTGTTCCTCCATAGATCCTACTTTCTTTGAAATCCTCGTTCCAGTCTGTTGGTACTTGCTCTTCCTTTAAAACATATAGTGGAACATCTTTGCAGTTACTGCTGTGCTTGCGTTCGATGCCTAAGCTGGTATTATGTCTGGTCCTAATGCTGTGCCACTCTTGATTTGTCTAATGGGCAGCTAATTTCTTTCATTGTTGGTGGGTCAACATCCTCTGGAAGGTCCATAGTTACTGCTTCACCGCTGGGTGGGTTCATTGTGGTCGATCTATGCAGGAGTTCTTCCAAACGCTCTGGTTCGCTGTTCCTGAATGTCAGTGATTGGCTTGACCTCCTTGTTTTTCACTAGTCTTCCTGGTTTACCTTACCTTTCAGCTTCTTCGTTATATAGTATAGATGTCTCATGTTCCTTCATGTACAGCTTTTTCAGTTATCATTTCTGGGTCTCCTACATATTTTTGCTGATCATTTCCAATGACTGTCTTCACTTGTTTGTTTATTTGTGTATTAGGCATGTGCCGTGCTTTTCTCTGCTGTTGTTTGGCCGTTATTGGTTGTGGTCCACTTGCTCTTTTTCACCTAATGTTTTCCAATGAATCAACCGAGATCCATTCCTTATGGTGTTTCTTCTTTTGGCCCAAAACCTACTGATATTTTAAAGTCATTGCTTCTTTAACCCCTTTCTAGTTGTTCTTCATAGTCTTGAAACTTGTCGCTTGAGTTTGCCAATATCTCGAAGAAAGGCTGTATTAAACCATTGTAATGCTGTTTGCCCAGTTGCCTAGAGCTTCTTTTGTTGCACTTTCATCTTGGCCACCACCTAAATGATGACCTTAAGCTCTATCAGCTCTTCTCTTTGTTCTCATGTCTTCTATGGTCTTCCTGAACTTTTTATTGATGCAGATATGGTTGATTTGGTTTTGTGCAGTGTGATGAGGCATGTTTGCGATTATGCGGGAATACTTGTTAAACATAGATAAATAGTAATGAAGATTGTCATGAGTTGAGATCAGTCAGTTAGGAACAGAAATGAATATGATACAATCCTAATGAGTGAAAGAGTTCACAAGCATGATGTAATGCACTTACGGTAACGTCACTAAGGTATGCTTTTAAGTTCATATCTAATCGTATAATAGACAGTTTTTTTTAATTCATCATATCGTTTGTTTTAATTTAAAATAGATTTTCTTAATAACACTGAAAAATTTGCATGTCATTTAGATAAACGCCTATTGTGATGGTCCTTAAAAATTAGGTCATTGTATTAATTAAAATTGTTTTAATGCAAAAAATAAAGTCGAATTTCATTAGAATGATTCAGAGGACTCGATGATTCATAAACTGATTATGAAACACTGTAATCGTTCAAATGCATTATTCATTAGTCACTGAGTTAAGCATCATGCCTATGCAAACACATGTTAGTAGTATTTCCCCTTTATTTCATATAGGCGTCCCAAGACAAATGAATTTGTCCCTTTCACAAAAAAGCTTGTCCTTACATAAGGTTTTAGAAGTTTTTGTATTCATGTCATGTTTAGCGTATTTGTAAAACTGAATTCACCTTAAACAAACTTATTTTTCTTTTGTTAAATCTACAACAACCTTGTAGTCATTTCTTAAATAATATTATTAATACCATTCAAGTTAACCGAATTGTCGTTGTAATCTATGGACATCAAGATACATTCCATTTCCAAGTTTTTTTAACATCTGGGTTATTTTTCTGTTTTTCCATACAGTCCTTGATTCAATCTATTCTCCCTAATAATATGTAGTTTGTAACAACAACTAGAAAGAAATTCTGATGTCATTTTGTTTAACCCCTTGTATTCCTTATCGAATCGAATCTACTATATATATAGGTCACAATATTTGAAAAAGGTCACAACTATTCAAATACCTAACCTTTAATGTATATAGACTGAAGGTAGATATTATCACAACAAGATGATGGGAATGATTTTGTGTGATAATCACATATTGATCAATAAACATTCGTGGAAGTCAACCAAAAGGTGAATGACTCACTGTCAATATACTTACTTACTTATTTACTTACGCCTGTTACCCCCAATGGAGCATAGGCCGCCCACCAGTTTTCTCCAACCAACTCTGTCCTGGGCTTCCCTCTCCAATTCTGTCCAATGTTTGTTCATTCCTCTCATATCTTTCTCTATTTCTCGGCGTAGTGTGTTCCTTGGCCTTCCTCTTTTCCTTTTGCCTTGAGGGTTCCATGCGAGGGCTTGTCTTGTGACGCAGTTAGGTGCTTTTCGTAGTGTGTGTCCTATCCACTTCCACCACTTCTTCCTGATTTCCTCCTCCACTGGAATCTGACTTGTTCTCTCCCACAGTTGGTTGTTGCTGATAGTGTCTGGCCAACGAATACGAAGTATTTTGCGTAGACAGCTGTTCATAAATACTTGTATTTTCTGGATGATGGCTTTGGTAGTTCTCCATGTTTCCGCTCCATACAGTAGAACTGTCTTGACATTTGTATTGAATATCCTGATTTTGGTTTTGATTGAGAGTTGTTTGGATTTCCAGATATTTTTCAACTGTAGAAATGCAACCCTCGCTTTGCCAATCCGCGCCCTCACATCTGCATCCGATCCACCTTTCTCGTCGATGATGCTGCCCAGATATGTAAAGGTGTTAACTTCCACCAAGGCATCTCCATCAAGCGTGATTTGGTTGGTGCATGTTGTGTTGCATCGGAGAATTTTACTTTTCCCTTTATGTGTGTTGAGACCTACTGCTGCAGAGGCTGCTGCTACACTGGTCGTCTTCTCTTGCATTTGTTGTTGAGTGTGCGATAGAAGAGCCAAGTCATCTGCGAAGTACTGTCAATATACCCTAAGTTATTAAGTCTTATCTCTGATGGTATCAACAAAAAACTAAACAGGGATTTAAATCTCTGCTCGAATGCCTAATGATACTTAGTTACCGTTTGAGATCCTTTGGATTAAGGAACTTGACTTTAGTGACGTTACCACAGCGATTATCCCTACTATATTAAAAATGTAGCTATCTGATATCATGCAAAGGAGATTTTTAAGCTAGTGAATATGTGGTTCACTCTAACTATTTTCCTTTAAACATGTTTAATGTTAGCGAATATGATTTCTTTACTGACAATTCACTTTTTGTACTGATAAATCAGTAGATAAATAAATTTGTGATGCATTAGTGCTGGTGACATCACGGAGTCCGACCACTTTAAGAAGAAAAGCGAACAGATAATTTCTGTAAAAAATCAAGATAATTATCCTTGTTTACTTGCTCCGTCAAAACGTTGTACAATATGTTTCAAATAGACAATTACCGCTAACGTTCAAAATTGACATTGTACAAAACGTTCACACTAAAACACGAATTTGGACTACGGTAGAAAAAAGCACTCTAATCAGCTGGTAACTGTACAAAAGATAAAACAAATGAAATGATTCTAAGAACATCAATTTCACTTTATTGTAATTAGTGACTCAAATTGTCGTGATTGGTTTTTCTTCCCTTTTCATATGTATATTCATGTATATTAGAGTAAAGCCTGATGACGATCCAGTCGAAAACAATAATGTTCACTTATATGTGTTGTGTTGTTCTAGTTTTCACATTAGGAATCTTTAATATTGTTAAATCTAAGTTATCAGCGGTACTATTATCTACTATGATGTGCGGGATGTTGCAAAATAATTTCCAGAATTGTATATCTTTGACTACAGAATAGACTACTATCAATTATCTTTCCTGAGTTATGAATCATAATGTTACACTAAGGTGATAAATCAATATTCTTTGCTTTAAATTCTGAATATAGCTTGATATTAATTGAGGAATAAATTCTGATTCCCAATCAAAAACCATGACGAAATGACTGCTTAGACTAAATCGCTATAAAACTTTCTTCGAAAAACTCCAATCTAGTAATAAAGACTTGCTATAAGTTAACCAAGCTACAAAATCATCAACTTCAATAAATTTAAGAATTTATAAATTGGTCAATTGTTCGAAATGCTGCACGAAAGAAGTAGCATGACTATTCAACTTTACATAATTTAATAGGCAATGAGTGATTAAGAAATTTTATAACTTGTCGATATGCTTCATCTTCTACTGGATTCATTATTTAAACTTTTAAATCCCTTTTTTAGGCATCCTTTATTTATTATTAAAAAAACATCGAATTAATCATGTTTATTTTATAGATCCATGTTCGAAATGTCGTCGTAATGAGATCTGTGAAAACGGTATATGTATACCAAGTGGTGTTGATCTATGCGACGGTGTTCAATGTGGAGAACAAGCATTCTGTCAAGATGGTGCATGCGTTTGTACACCAGGTTATACTGGAGATCCAGTTGTCAAGTGCTATGAAGAAACAGGCGAGTTTCCAAAATTAAATGTATCTATGTTTTATATGCATTATCAAGATTTATTTTTATTGATCTGGGATTTTTGTTCGTATTGTTTGATTGAATTCAACAAATTTCCTCTCTACATTTTATGTGTGTAACTAATAATCATGAAAATCTCTTAAATTTTTGTGTCATGGGAAGACCCAATAAGAATGTGTATATAAAAAGATTATTTTTGTCGGAATACATCATATCTCTCATTTTATTAGATCGATGTTTTCAAGTGCGTTGTCATCCAAATGCTCAATGTTACAATGGCAGATGTCATTGTGTAGAGGGTTATCAAGGTGATGGGTATTATGATTGTAAGCCTGAAGTCTACGGTAAGTTAGTTTCCCTTTCCCTATAAGTTTTCTTATAAATTTCATTCTTCGAACAGCTTGTTTATGTATTTTGAACTAGTGCATACACGTAAACTCCGCCAATTCCCTGCCGTAATTGTGTTTTTTTTTTTTAATTGGCGTTGCTAAGATATGCCTGCATGCTTTCTTAACTAAATTACCATACACTCTATAGTATACAGTCATATATTTAATGCACAATTTTCAAACCATTTTAATTAATCCATTTACATTCATTCCTTATCATTAAAATAGTCAACATCGTAATAAACTTGCACATTAATCTGCTTCATTCATTTTTTTTTTAATGTCTTATATTTATACTCAGTAGAATGATACAATTTACGAATATTATAAACACTGCATCGAAAATTTTATTTCATCATCCATGTTAGAATAGATTAATAATTTAAATACTTATTCATTTATATTTAAACAAGTGAAATTCACTACAATTTACCTGTTAATTACATCTACTGAAATTATACACTTAACAAATTATCACTGATATTCTGCACAAAACTCACAAAACAACTGACTAGTTGGATTGCATAATAAAACACTAAACTTGCACAAGTTGAAATATTTGTAAATGTAAATACGGAAATCATATTCTTCAGTAAATAAACTATTTCCACATTACTTGGGTTGTACAAAGTCAAATGAAAGAAAATGTTTACTGACTTCATTGAGCACAACTACATAATGAGGAGAAATATGATGATTATTTGTGCTTTATTTGATGATGAATTTAAAAATGATTCTATGTCTGCTCTATCCCTGGTCATTAGGAAAAACTGTAATCATATTTCAGTTTGTTACATAGTTATTCATCTTGATCTGCTTGTTATATATAACAAGTTTTAAATTACTTAGAATTTATAATTATATTTGTTAAGTTAGATTTTGCCTATGTCCACATTCCCGACAAGCGCGCATTAATTATTTTAGTTGGTTTTATCTCAGTGTTAAACTTCACCAGAACCACTGACTCATCAATTTAACTGTTGTAAATATTTTCTCTTAAAGTAATACCATATCTAACATTTCCTATTTGCGAAAATCAATAACTGCTATGGTTGTTTCCAGTGGATTTTCTGAAAGTGAAACTTCACACATTTTGTGGTTCATATCTTAAGGTACTGTACTTGCAAACTGTTTTAGTTTATAACTTCAATCCCACTATTTAATCATTTGAGATCTGTCGGAAAAAAATGTTATAACTTAGGCTTTATTTTTATGGAAAGTCCGACTATGCAGAATTTAGGGATCTTTGAAACAAATATTGTCTCTAGCCGATTGTGCTTATTTGTTTGAGGTGCTTTTCAAAAATCAGGAATTATAATCATAATGATTTCAAGTAGTCTGAAGATTATTTCATAATCTATTATTGTAAACTACTCTACCGTTTTAGCAAATACAAAACTTTTTCCTCAGTTCACATTACGTCTGTTCAAATGAATTTTTTCTCTTTTCATCCACCTAAATCATACAAGATCCATGCGCTAAGATTAAGTGTCATCCATATGCCAGATGCAGAGATGGTAAATGTGAGTGCCTATTTGGCAATGATGGTGATGGTTATCAAGTTTGTAAACCACGTAATGATGGTACGTTTGCAAACACTAATGAAACATTAACACGCATGCACTCATTGTTGGCACATGGATTCATACTAGGATGATTGACTAATTTCATTTGCCTACATGTTTATTTATTCATTTCCCAAACATTAAACAGAATAAATAAAAAAAACATACCATCTTCATATATAAAACATTTCACTTAAATAGGAAATTTAAACGAAGCATATTCTTTTCAATTGTATGTATATTCAAATTAATAATTCACAAAATGGCCCATGCTTAAGGCAAAATACATCGTTTTAAATGATAGCATAGTAAGTTAGGATTGTTTGTGAAATAAAATTGCTAGTGTTTAGATGACTAATATACACTGTTTAACTTGGAGAAGCGTATATTTTTAATGAAATTGTGACATCAATGATCAGGATAAATATGGAACGGACAGAGAGAGAATTATAAAGCAGTTCAGAAATTCGATCAAAGGTTTAGTGGATAATTTCATATAAATAAAAAAAGAAATATTCAAGTGTGATGAGTACCCAGTAAATTGATTATCTATTTTACACAAAATCCTAAATTCACATGCTGTCATTAGAAACGATGCAATTCGCCTTAAACCTGGCCATTTTGTAGATAAGTAATTTGGATATGTAATTGTAGAACAACGGGAGAGATTACTGAACAGAATATTATTTGTTCAAATGTTAATGTTTTAAAAAATTATATGGCAATCTATCTTGCTTTGAAAACTAATATCTGAAAAAAAGAACAGCATATAAAGCATTCCATAGCACGATCATTTATGCTGGAATTTGAGTTGAATGCTATTTAACATTGCTTATTGTCATATCCGCTTGGTGTCTTTTATTCATGAGTTACATATAATGGACATCATTCATCCAATCCATTGATCGCTTGTAACTCATACTAATGATTCTGATATAGATCCATGTAGTGATGTCCGATGTCACCATTATGGACATTGTATAAATGGTAGCTGTCAGTGCCGTACTGGATTTGAAGGAGATGGCTACTATGACTGCCGTCGTATTCAAACAGGTGAGTAGGATGATGAGGTGATAATCAAAATATCCCAGAAGTGTACAAAAGTTAGTAAGAATTTACAAGTGTATTCTTTCAATAAATGTTTTCTGTAATAACTAACTAGTTGCCATCAGTTGTCTAGAACTGTATATCTGTATACAAACGTTTGCAAAGTGAAATTTTACTTTTGCAGAAGAACGACACTGAATATGTTCAGAATTACAATGTAAACTCCGTAATTAAACCACCTAACTCACATAGCATAATACAGTCAAACATATTTACCTGAACAGCAACTCTTCTTCATCACCTAATAATTCGAAATTATCATTCCAGATAAATAAGTTAACGAACATCACATACTCCATAAAAACTTCCATTTTTTAAAAAGGTTTCTCATATTTGTAATCAATAAAAAATTGTATTTTAAAAATAGATATTGTCGTTTACGAAATTATAGGCAGAATAGACAGGAAATAAAAATACTGTAAAATAACTGTTAATAAAAAGTAGTTTTTATTGAATTTACAACTGGTTAAAATTTGGATTCTTCACTATTTCTTTCAACAATGTTCATGGTTTTACTAGTTAGTCGGCAGTAATCAAGAAAGTGACGATTCACATCGAGGATACTCTTCTTTTCAATCCATTTTACATATACTGATGCATTTTGGAAGAAAATACATTCTTGTTGAAGATAATCTATGGTTGTAACATCATCTCGTTTTATCAGTAGACTTTACAAAATAAACAAAAATTAAGCGGTTATATATCTTCTATTGAGTATGGAGAACCTTTTATTTTTTCAAAGTTGGTAACATTCAACGGACTTTAAATAACTTTTTCGAATTCCTTTTTGAAGATCAATATGATCTTTTCAAGTTTTTATTGAATTTCCTGAAGTGTAAACTGGAAATGTGCCTATTTGGTCATACTCTGAATACAGTCAACCGAAATTATTTTTTATAAGTAGCCTACATTGAGAGCATTTTAAGCACAGATAGACAGTGGCTAGCAGCAGAATCCAGGAGGTGTATTTCATCTTATTTAGGACCCGTCAGCTAGATGTATCTACTTCCCAGAACTGATATTATATCTGAAACCTGGGCCCAGTATTGTTTGCTTCCACTGATAGCCACCATCCATCTCTGCAGGAAATGGATAATTCCTAATAGCAACATTGAGGCAATCCGCACAACCAATAATTGATAAAAAGATATGACAGCTGTAACCTTACACATTTAGAACTCTTCTAATGACCAAATATCAAGATTCAAACGTTAATAGATGCATAACTGATATGCGTGTTTTCAAGTAGAAGTTATTGTTACAGTATTTTCATAAATATTTCAAAATTTAAACAGACAAATATTGATAAATGTGACTGAATGAAAACAAAAAACAGTTTCGTTTCTTATTATTATTGATAATCAACAATGAAACTGATAATACTTTAATACAAATAGGTTAACTATGTACTATGTATCTGATAAGTATCTGTTAGATAAGTGCATAAATTATTTTAATTACCACCTCACATCTGGTTTTATGAAACATTCAGATCCTTGTAGTCGTGTGCAATGTCATTACGACGCCACATGTCATAATGGTGTTTGCACATGTAAAAATGGTTATATCGGTGATGGTTATCGAGAATGCCGACCACGAGAATCTGGTGAGTAGGTTGACCGAGACAAATACAAATGTGAAAGTTTGTTGAAAACCGTTTGCATGTTTGTTTTTATGTTTGCTCAGGAAAGAAAGTAGTCAAAATCGTGATGTGTTTTTAGCATGTGAGTAGAAAATTCGTAATATCTTGATGATTCTAATGTAATATCAACGTAGATAATTGTTTTTTAAGTTTTAATTATTAAAGGGCACCTCTAAGTCAAAGTAAAATGTGAAATATCTACCTAGTGTTTTCTCATATTTAATGGACCATTTTTCGATTTATTAGAAAATTTCCCAAAATTATGATCAAAATGACTGAAGTACTAATACAAAATGTTGTTTAGAACTCAACAAATCTTCATTTATTGAAATTAATAAGCGAATAGTTTGAAACTATTATTTGTGAATACTACATCGATACTTCTATTATGTTCTTCATGAACACTAAACTAAAACTTACTACCAATTACATTATTTTCTTTCAAATTTAAATAGTTTTTCTAATTCAGTAGACAAGGATGAACCTATAGACAATAGGTACCTATTTAGCAAAACTAAATTTGCTGCACTTTCTTTTTTATTTGAATATTGAACATTGAAGTTATAACGTTTAAAAAAACAGTTTAGTATATCTGCTTTGTGTCACACCGATTTCTTTCTTTAAAAACTAATAAAGTGAGATTTTTGTTTGTTTTCCATTGTGCGATGATTGAACATTAAAATTTTAAACTTGACTTTTGATTTATTTATTCCCTCTCCCGGATCTGTTTCATTCAGTTTTTTCCTCTCATAATTCTTGTGTTTGTTAAAACTTGTCTAAATGACATTTCTGTCTAATATTTTAATGTTCTTTACCAAACATTCATTATGTCATCAGATTCAGAGTTGAATACCCATAATGACTAATGATGTATGCATATCTTAAATTAATTTCAAGCATGCAGTATGTAATCCATTGAGTTGAAAAAAACCCCTTCTAGTATTGTCATATTCAACAATATGTCTTAGTAAACTATTTGTTTACAGATTTATGCTATCGCATTCAATGTCATCCATATGCACAGTGTGATAATGGACAGTGTCATTGTACTGAAGGTTATGATGGTGATGGGTATTATGATTGTCATAAAAGAGGTAAGGTTTATGTTTTGTTAACATAAACATTATTACATTAAATGGTTGTGTCAGCGAGAAAAACCACCATATAAATTCCCAACATTTATTTTAAAAAAATAACTGTTCAAAAAATATTCAGCAACTATAATGAGATGCTGATCTCAAGATTCATATGAGTATTCATAGTTATTGAACAGTTACAAATCTACCAATGATTATTCTAGATTTGCAAATAAATGTTTATATTTCTTGCTGATGATTTGTGCATAGAATTTGTTTCTTTAAATGAATCCTCATACAGTCTTTAATAGTTTTTGTGGTCAATATCTGAGAATATTTCAAATGATAAACGGTATGAGCCTTCGCTCAAATATTAGTACTTCTCAGTAATGGAGCTAATACTTCTTTTTATATTAATAAATAAAATTAGCCAGAATATTCACTGGTACCTATTTATATACCATAAACTTATACATTTATTTCATGAAATTAAGGTCATATTACATTTTCATGGTACTTTCATTAATTAATACACTTCTTTAAAAAAAATGACACTACTTAGATGATGCCCAGCAAATAGAAACTTACTTAATTTTCGTAGATCAATTTAGATAAATCACTCAAAAGCTTACAGTGTTAATGTACGAAAATCTCCTGAAAGTTCCAACCTCTTATCGAAATTCACACAGATTACTAGTTTATTGCCTTTTATGATAAGGAATATCATTTAATTAACATTTTGAACTATTGTTTATAACATTTTAAATTTAAAACGTGACTGTTGATGTTTGTTGTATTTGATTTAAACAAAAACTAACTGCTCGTAGGAAGAAATATATGATTCTCGTGTTGATACTTGTTTGTAGTGAACCATGCTTGAAAGTTATATTCAAATAAAACACAAAGTATAATCAGTGATTTGGCTGCATGATAGTTCGTATTCATGGCTTCACAAAAGTGATAATACACAGAAAACAAAACATTTTTCAATGAAAATTATATTCCCTGATTTGTTAATGTTCCATCGGTAAATAAACTAAATTCAGGTTATAATAAATGATGTAAGTCTACTTTTAGGCAACATGGCGACTGAGCATAATTTAGACAATGTGTTAATCTAATGTTAACTTATTAAAGTAGATTATGCAAATTATCAAATAGAAGTTGTTCTATCAAAATTGGAATATTTTATTCATAGTGTTACATTATCAATCTGTGAAACCATCTACTTAAATCCAAAGTAGATTCAGCATTTCTTAAGTAAATCTCAATTCATGAAAGTAAACTGAAGTACACTGGTAATTTTGTGCTACTTTTGTGGCTATAGATTTTCACAGTATTCATTCATATGGGACTGTTCGTTAAATTCACTAAAATACAAACAACGATATACTAAACAATACTTCGAAAAACCGGTATTTAATAACAAGGTAATTATTTAGAAATTCTAAATTTTTAGATCCTTGTACTGGTGTTAAATGTCATCAGTATGGAGAATGCATCAGTGGACGATGCCACTGTCTCAAAGGATATGAAGGTGACGGGTATTATAATTGTAAACAAGTAGTCAATGGTAAGAATGTTCTGCATGCAAGTCATATAAAAAAATCTATGCGCACGTGCACTCAGATGTTGTCAGACAGAAATGTTCAGTTGCATGTGGTTTCTTGTTTTAAATTCTAGGTCGTGGATGCATACTACTGATGAGCCCCATACCAGGACAAAACGGCCTCCCAGTGCTTCCAGGTTTCTAGTGGCGATCTAAGATTGATCGATTCATAATTTCAAATGTGTAACTTACTCATCTTCACAACCCCGTAATGGAATATTCAATATAGCTGATATTGAAATAACTAGTGCGTAATGTTGACATAAATCAGCTTAAAGGACAATTTTAATAATGAGATGAGTGATCAATACAAATTAAATTATTAATGTTAAAATGATTAATGTCTAATGATCAGTTGAGTTAGTTCATAGGTTCACTGAAATTTTGGGACTAACAAGAACAATAAATATTTAATAGAGAAAAAAAATATTAGTGTGATTTTATTGAGTTCGTCACTTAGTCGATAAACGCGAACGAGACTTTCACCAGCGTCCAGGTAGGCTACCTTGAATCCCAAGCTGAAGATAAAAGGCTTTGTAAGCGTGGAAAGTATATTCTACAAACACCCAGCAATCACAGTACAATCAAGCATACAACTCTCGTTTATTTATACATCATAGAAACGTCCTTGAGACAGTTAAGAGAATAGCATCCTAAAATACACAGCAGCCAATCACAGCCATGGATTTTCCTGGTGGGAATTGAAATCTCAAGGCCAACTGATCAGCCCATGCTGGCAAACGTGAAAACCAAAATAAGGCATTTATCAAGCGAATTTCGGGGATCTAACATCCCCAACAGATTTTAAATAAGAATTATTCTTTGCTTAAATACTGAATAATTTATAGAATAATTTGCATTAAGCATTTACGAACCGAGATAGCCGCTAATTCAATTCCTCGAGTGCGCTTTCAAATAATAATGATATGGTGAAATGTAACAGACAATAAAATATAAAGATAATTGTTGATGATCACTTAGCTAGACTTGTGTACCACTGGATGCCGACTCAGTGATCAAAAGCTTAAGCATTCGTATGCAAGACCGAACGTCCTGGGTTTGATTCCAGAGTGTGGAAGTGGTGGACTTGCACTGTTGATGAGTCCTATACCAGGACGAGACGGTCATCCAATGCTCTCAGGTTTCCAGCGGTGGTCTACAATTGATCACTTCATGATATCAGTGGAGCCCAACAATCTTCACAACTCTATAGTAACGATATGGAAATACAAAAAGGAAGGCTGTTTGTACACTTGTCAGATTATGTCATCATTTCACGCAAAATGTTCGTTAATTTATTAGACCAGAAGCATGTCATAGTAACAGAGGCCACATATTTCTTTTGGACATAAATCCCCCACGTTATGGTTCAAATCGCTATTACTTTGGTTGTTTGAAGTACTCTAAGTTTGATGCGTTTAAGTAGGTAATTATTAATACGATAGATCACTGGAAATAAGCAATCCATTTCGACTGTGTAGCGTGTTTACTGTGAATGGGCTAGGACTGAATTACAGATAGTTTTACCTACGCCTTTGTTTGACCAATCTAGGCGGTGCTCTGAAACTCGAAAATACAAATTCCCACTGCATCTGCTAAGTTATTTTTCGATTTCAGAGTTACCATCTGATGCATAGAAAACGTCAATTGTGTTTTTAACAAGACAGAATATCCCAGTGATTAAAATATTGGAATGTGAAAAATGGTTTGTAGTTATCTCTTTTTTAAAACAGTTACATAACAGAACACAAAAGTGTAGTCTAAAAAATTTCCTATTGCACTATAATCGTCCTTAACTTTTGCAGTTTAGCGCCACTTTTACTACCAACATTCAAATACTGCTGAATAGTTTTGTTTTTTAAATATTACTATTGCGTTTGTCTAATAATGTACTTGAATAGACTACATAATTCATAAATCAAAATTTTTAAAGTGATTATAATTCGATCAAAGAGACTGTACTATAAAATTATCATTAGCTTCGTGAATATACTTGAGCTTTCAACATTTTTGCACTGTTAGATCCATGTTCAAATGTTCGATGTCATCCTAATGGTTATTGTAAAAATGGACGATGTTTATGTTTAAATGGTTATGAAGGGGATGGCTATTATGAATGTCGTCCATTTTATAATGGTAAGCAAAATCATCTCGTTAGCACGCACCTCATAACATCATTTATATAAATAAAAGCGAATGTTTTTATTACACTGAAACATAAAATGATGCCGATTAGTTAACAAGAAAAATGTTAGTTATTTTTCAACAAAAAACAGCCACTTATTCACTAGCATGAAATGAACTTATACCACACATTTTCATTGTTCCTATCCAAAATGCTACTGCTTTTTTTTCACTGTACCGATATAGTGAAACTAACGCTGAACTTACTAACCTAAAGTAGACATAAACTTGCATGTATCATAAACACATCTTTTTACAAAAAAAATATCATCATACCACATACAATGAATGCATGATATTATTTGGAGAGAAATAATTTTGTGTAGTGGTTTAAGCTTTTAAAATGTTTGTCTTCTTTATAGACCCTTGTATAGGAGTACAGTGTCATTCTAAAGCAGAATGTCAAAATGGTTATTGTCGTTGCCTAAACGGCTACGAAGGAGATGGTTTTCACTATTGCTATGCAATGCAAGATGGTAAGGACTGTAGTGACTAGTTAGAAAAATAAGAAATTTTTTATTTCCTTATTTCAAAAACATTTTATTATTCTATGTACACCATTTAGTATAGTCTGCGCTATTAGATACTATGATTTTACATAAAAAATAAGTTGACTTGAAGGTAACTAGAAATGATGACCTTAGTTCAGACAAAATGAGTACAATTTTTAATTAATCAAAGTATTTTATCTTGGATTACTATTAAATAGCATAATAATTTGTTGTAAATAAAGTTAACTGATATAGTATTTTACAATATATATATATATATATATATATATATATATATATATATATATATATATATATATATATATATATATTGCAAATGCTTTATACACTTTGAATATTCTTCATGAGTTTGCCTTAAAAAGCAATGTTAATACATAGATGTTAACATTTAGTATATTCAATTAATTTTGCTTAGGTTTCTGTTCCTATATCTAAACAGTTAGTTGGTTTGGTAAGAATTTTCCTGTATCAAAGTTTTAAATTATTTACTTACTCCATATTTACCGACATGAAGTTATACTGTGTCTCAGTGAATGCTGTACTGGATTGGTGGCAAAGACCACAAATTAGATTATGCCGATTTTTACTTATGATGAGAAGTGAAGTTCAATAACATCCATGAGTAGACAAAACGTCTTTAAAAATATCCTATCAACATAAATAAATTTTAATGTGCCATAATCATTTCATTGTAGATCCATGTTCTGGTATGAGATGTCATATAAACGCTAAATGCTTTAACGGCGAATGCCGATGTTTGGATGGCTATCAAGGAGATGGGAAATATTATTGTGATCCTATTCAGCAGGGTAGGACTATGAAAATAATTCATCCCCACATATTTTTTAATGCATGCTGAATGCGAGAAAATTAAGTACTTTTCTAATATCGAAAACAAGTCATTTTCAAACCACAGGTTCTTTTCCGTCTGCTAAAACATCAAATTTCAAAACCACAAGCAATCACTTTAACCATTATATAAAAAACCAGTGCCCTAAGCTTTTTATATCAATAGGGATAATATGATACGATTTTTCATTTATATCTTCGAGATACATATTTACATACATTTAGTGTAGTGCATCCATATTAAACTTGTATTGTGCATTTTAGTCTCAGATCTAAAAGTTTATTTATGGACGCAGGGATATCTTTGGAAACGTTTAAAAACTTTCTTTCTTACACGAAATTATGTTGAACTATTTTACGTTAGTGAAATGTGTTTTTCTAATTACAGCTAATATTAATTGAAATAGTTAAAGAATAACTAGGATTTCTTTTCCATTTCTAATTTTTTCCCATTGTTCTAGCACACATATTTTAACGAGGCAGCATTTATTAGCTATTTTGTTCTAGTATCGGACTCATCACTTGTATTCGCACAACAACCTACAATAGATTTTAACACTAACTTTTAAGTCTTCAGTTGATTTTTGGGCTAGGATCCCGCAGTTTGCAAGTATCATTGTAGCCACAAAACCTACAGCCTAGTGAAATGATTTTATTGGCAGTTTTAAGTCCATATTCTTAGAACAGCCACAAACGTTTCCAAAATACAGCTCCAGTACTTACTGATTAATAACGATTCTCTATATATAATCCCAGCCATCTATATGTGTCTTACATATAAAAGAATGCTCCTAGAATGATTTAGACATGCAATTCAAAAACCACAAATGTTTGTGGCTGCAAAATCTATCAAGTAAATTTTGAAATGCCAACTAACGTTTTCTAAACAACCATATTTTAAATAGATCCGTGTCAAAATATTCGATGTCATGAGTTTGCGAACTGTCAAAATGGTAGATGTCAGTGTAATGCAGGTTATGAAGGAGATGGTTACTGGGAATGTAAATCCATAAAAAGTGGTAAGATATGGAAATAATTTGCTCTAACAGGAGCTTAAAATGTTAGAATTCCTGCATCTTATTTTGGCATGCGTTTTGTGCATGTGAAGAACTGTTATTTAATAAATAAAAAGTGGAATGCCTTTCGATAAAAGTTTATTCGATGTTTTGTGGCCGATTTTCGAATGTATATATATATATATATATATATATATATATATATATATATATAATGATATTAAAGCGGTCTTTCCAATTAGTCCCTGGGTTTTTCGATCGAATACATAATGCCTAGTTTTGAATTGACCGAAATTTCATGAATTCGTGATCCATATGTGTTAGCTATCAGAGATTTCTTGGTGAATTTTACTTGTTGTCATTAGTAAAACAGAAATATTACTAGAGTTCATCACTCCATTGAAAATTTATATGAAATATATTATCCTAGAATTCCATTTTTTTAATTCACATAGCATGATAAATTTGTTTGATTGTCTATCTTTCAATCAATCTCCATTCAAGCTTCATTGTGTGACTCAATGCAAGTAAACTATAACAAAAATTAAAACTTTTTATCTGGAAAGTTTGATAGAATTTTAGCAAACCAAATGTTGAATTGAGTTTAAACATTTAGCATGTAGATTGCATGAATTACTACACATTTCTTAACAGTCTGTTGCTAGTTGAATAGAACCACCTGGCGAAATATGAATGGCATGTAATTGAATTACTTTGAAATTAAAATACTTATCTCATTAAATTATCTTGTTAAAGACCTATGTCGAAATGTTCGATGTCATGAAAAGGCCGAATGCAATGCAGACGGTAAATGTCAGTGTCTTGATGGTTATTGGGGAGATGGATATTATGAGTGCCAAAAAAATTCACAAGGTGAGTTCACAACTGATAATTACAGAACATGAAGTTGATATTGTGCAACGGACACATAAGAGTATTCATAATGATTGCGGAACTTGCAACATATTTGCTTCCGATTTTGAATTTGGTCATACATTATGCAACGTATCATGTTTAAGCGATAGTCCAAAAAATCTGGTCAGTAGAGAGTACACATATCATTTCAAAAGTAGTGACTAATTTCTTTAGTTATACGCTATTCTTCAGTAAATGTTCTGCACTCTTATACACCAGTAGCAGGTAAAAAATTTGAAATACTTGGTTAATACTTTTAGTTATAATGGCCGGCTATTATGTTAGCGTATTTTTAAATCTACTTTAAAAGTGCGTTATTTTTATAAGCTTCTTAAGTTAGAAATTTGGAATACTTAAGTTTCTATCATTGCTTCTAAATTTTACTTTCAACCTTTATACTTTTATCTTGGAAGACATTTGTGTGGACTGTATGATACAACTTCATTATTGTTTTCGACATTTGGTGGTTGCTTTATTTTGATCGATAATCTGGTCAAAATAGTCAACTGAGTCCTAAATAGTTCAATGATAAACTCTTTAATAGTGAAGCAGGATATAGTAGTTTCGAATCTGACGGAGAACATTGGCCTGTTTGAGTTACAGATGTACATTACTAACTAATGACTGATGTCATAAAACCTAGCTCTAAAATCTCATATCGAGTATTTTCAGCCATCTAAAGCCAATTACTGACTAAATATACAATTTCAAATTCTTAGATAGTTAACTAATATCCAGATCATTGGTGTAACGTATGTCTCATGAATGTTTCGCGGTAAAAGTAACAAGAGAGACATAAAAATTAAAATTAAACTTCATTTTGCTAATATAATAAATGAACTGATTAAACCTATTGATTTATGCTATTATACCTAGGAAAATAATTTTTAAAAAATGTATCCTTTACTAACTAATTCCATACTGTGAAATCTCATACCAACTTTTTTAAGCGACGATATGACTATTTGTATTGTTACTTTTCTTGAACTAAGCATAATACTCGATGTAAACTGAAATGTCTTTAATACAACTAGGACTAAACTGCTTTTTAAGATATTTTTTAATTTATCTTGTCTTGGTTACTGTATATTCTTGCCTGATTTCTTGTAATCTGATTAAATGGTATTTTGTAAATTAGTTTGACGTTTGGAAAATGTCTATATGTTTATTTTGTTGTAATACCTTCACAAGCAATGCAACTGAACTTAGAAAGAATACATTTATGTTTGAAACTTCGCATTCATTATTAATTATTACAGAATAGAATATTTTATTCTCCAAATATATCTCTCTAGGCCTCGTATTTTTTAATGGTAGCTACATTCGTTCGACATTACACTAAAAGTATACTAGGAAGTGTTTCATCTGATAGAACTAATATCCTAACAAATAGTTCCATTAATCGCTTGAAAGTATTCATGCCAATGTATTCAGCATTTTTTGAGATATTTGAAACAATTCTCTGACTATTGTAATTTTTTTATTATTGGAAAGAAACGCCAAAGTAAAACCGAAGTGTAGTTGTCACTTTGCTTTTCTTTTTAACCACATTACAATAAGCTAGGACTTAATCGAATTTGTTTTGTATTTCTTAAGAATAAACGAGAAAAAATATTCATAAAACAGCTCATTAAAATAAAATGATTTGTCTTCTGAATAACAGACTATCGTCTTGTAAAACATTTTGTTCCAACAATTATCTTAATGTTATTGCGTAATAATCAAAGCACAGTCACGAAATCTCTTAACATTTCCATGTAATTTAACCAGTTCTACTAACTTGATACATTTTTAGTCAAAATAACTGGACAAAAAAATCGTAACACAGAGACCGTATCGATTATGTCATTCGATATCATGTGTAACATGCCATGGAAACAAAGTGTTTAACCAAACTTCTTTATCTTTTGAAATTAAATTTCAAATTTGTTTCTATTCACTTGAATGAGTTTTGTTTAATTGCATGTATGAAAAATAAACCCTGGGGATAAAACAGGGTAAAAATAAATTAAAACTTTTATAGTTAATTTCCTCTTTCTTTTAAAATTATATTATCATTTTGATATTTTCGATTTGAAGTTTATTACTTCAAAAGCAGACAATGAAAGCATTTTAGATTTGTTGGTTCTGCTTTTGCACAATCAGTACTTTGTAATTTGTTCTAATACTTTCAAGATTGTTTTGTTTGGCATTTATTGAAATTTTGAATTTTTTAATATTATAAATTGTTATTTTTTTGAGCTGTAAATTTAATTCGCACACTCCAGTGTTATACAATAAAATATTCTCCTAAGATGAATCATTCATTTGATTTCATGCTTACTTGTCGCTGATTATTTTGAAAGCCTACACCACAATACACGTACTTTTTTACCAAAAGTTTTTGACATTTAATTGTTGGAATGAATTAATAATTATTTTTCAATTAAAATTATGGAGATGATTGTTTTTAAGCAATGAAATCATAAGTTAATCATTGTTAGACCACCCATTAGAAACCTGGAAGCACTGGACAGCCGTTTTGTCCTGGTATGGGACTCATCAACAGTGCGTAATATATACTTGTGCATACTATGAAAGTCTTTATTGAAATGACGATTTGCTCAGTATTCCTATGTTTTTCTCCATTAAGTTGATAATCAGAATGAAATAATTGTCTTCAACTCTTTGTTTCTCAATGTGTATTTGTAAATCTTTATCGATCAGTCGGTCAATTCACTTTAAAACTATAATTATTGAACAATTAATACTGGTTCTATTATTTTTGTTATACAATGAAAGTTCAGATTTTTATGAAACTTCATTCTATAATATTTTTTATTGGACAGAATACAATGTAATAAAAAATCTTCATTGATATTTTCTTATCATGGATCCTACTTAAAGTTAGAATATATTTTTAACTAAAACTTCCTTAACTGATATTAGAAAAATTTTATTCAACAAACGAGAAATACCCTAAGCTTAATTCTCATAAGAATATTTAATTTTATTTTGGAAGATTCATGCACAAAAATGTCGAAATGTCAGCCAGTTTTCTTTAGTCTTAATTACTTACAAATAATAAACACATTGCATTTATTTTCAACTGTTAAATTCTAAATTTATTTTATGTGAACTTAAATATGCTAACGATGTTGCTAATAACGATTAGAACTCGTAAAGATCTTTGTGTATACTTCGTTTGAAGAAAAGCATACTTATTCAACTATGTATTTACACCGCATTACTTCTATTTTTACTTCGAAGCTTTTCTAACTTACTTATAATTTCAAAGAACTTATTGAATTTCTAAACAGAATAATTAATTGTTTTAAATATCAATCTTAAATATTATAGAATTATGCGCAGGTGTTCAATGTCATCGTTTTGGTCAATGTTATGAAAATCGATGCTATTGTAGTCATGGCTACGTTGGAGACGGGGTAAACTTTTGTGATGCACGTACAAATGGTACGTATTAATTTGATTTATTACATCTATTTCTAATGGTTTACAATAGTGAATATTTATAGCACTTTAATACATAAGTGAACATCAGTCAGTTATCAGTTATAAATAATTACAATTTCAGGTGACACTACTGTCATTTAGGCTGGCAACCTGTATAGAATGTCAAGTATGATTTTTCTGATTGGTTGATAAATTGGGTCAATGTCGATGTGTTTGTTAATTGCTGATTGACCTGAGTGCCAAGCTTCTGAAAATTCTCTAGTGTTCTTTGTCCTCCCCCTATCCAATATTTCCACATTGTTCCAATCGAATGCCAGTCCATGATTGTCCGTATGTATTGATATAAGCGAAGAATTGTCGTGGCGTTTGACTGCTAATTGATGTTCACGTAAACGAAGCTGAAGAGACCGTCCACTTTGTCCTGTGTAGTGTTTTTCACAGTTTGAGCAATTTATTTGGTAGATGATATTTGGTTTTTCTTGTCACTTTGTCCTTAGGTCTACATAGGATTGATTGAAATGATTCTGTTGGTTTGTGTGCTACACGTATTCCAAATGGTCTCAGTTGTCGTACTTAATGTTCCGATATGCCTTTTATGTATGGTTGGATGATCCGTTTATTGGTTCCTGTACTTGATTTCGCTTCTGTTGACGATTTCAGTTGATGTTTTTTGCTGAAGTTGCGCAGATAGCCGTTCTTCTAGAAGATAGTAGTCAGTTATTTTTTTCGTTTCTTCGCACTTCAAGTGTGCTGCAGTGTGTCTTCACTCTCTTGAAAAACGTTTGTACGCAGAGGATTTTGTGAGTTCTTTGGTTGTTGCTACCGTAATTAAGAATTACGTCTGTGTGGGTTGGCTTCCGAAATACTTGAGTTTCTAGTTTTCCTGTGTTAGTTCTGGTGATTAGTACATCCAGGAATGATAGGCTATTGTTTGATTCCTTTTCCATCGTGAATTTGATGTCATCAAAGACGTTGTTGATCCGATTGTAGATGTTCTCCAACTCTTTCCTTTTAACATTATCTGCATAGCGAACCCACACTTTTGACTTGATCCCTGGTAAAACCGACACTTCTAGTCTTCGCATCATAGCTTCTGCGATGAGTCCTGATATTGGTGATCCCACTGATGTACCTTTTGTTTGTTCGTAGATTCTGTTGTTGAACTGGAAATACGTTGTTAAGCACGGATCAATGAGTTCTAGGAGACTTTGACTTTGAAGTTTCGTATATTCTTGAAGATTTGCGTCGTTGGTGAGGAGCAGGGAAAGATTTATTTTGGCTTAATTATAAAATAAATAAACTATAAAATATTCAGCTTTATTGATTGAACTAAAGAAGTCATCACTCAACACAAACTTAAGTTTCCATTGTATAATTACAATTCATGATATTCTTAAAATAACCACACTGACGTTTTCAAAATGAATAGCAGTAAATTCGGTTATTTCTTGATTAGTAATCGGCTTCTTTCAGTTTTTACCACTGCAGATAAATTGACATTCAAATCCTTTTTGCAATGTAAGCTTTCATCAATTCTGACGACAGCCTTGAAGATAATGGAAACTACATTGTACCTCTGAAAGTGTCATTTAATTTACAATGTTTCTTAATTTACACATTTATTTAAGGAAAGTCACATGTTTTCGTAAATCAAACTTTTTTTCTTTGATTGAAACTCATACATGCGTTAGTATGTTTAAGAACTTACAGTAACCAGAAAATCCCAGCTATTCAGTTCCTTAATATTCATTCACTTAATCGATATTTGTATTACTTATGCTTAATTATAAATACTGTCTTTATGAACTTCCTGTAGTAGGTACTGAGAAACACTAGTAAATGTACACATAATTAATTACATATGTTATTCAAATGTCCATTTTAGACCCATGTGACGGAGTTCGTTGTGCTGCTAATGGTCGTTGCCAAGATGGTCGATGTGTATGTGATCATGGATTCACAGGAGACGGCTACAACGAATGCCGAGTAGCCGAGGGTGGTATGTAAATTTTTATCAAACCTGTATGTTGTCAACTAAATAAGGCCAGTTATCATTTCCCAGCTGCCTACGCCATGATATGATATATTTTTTTGAGAGACCTGAAAAGGAAGCTGGGTCATAGTTGACCTTATTGACCTGGGAAAGTGACCGCAGATCTTAAGGGACAACTGCTCGAGGTCAGTCACTCATGACCCTTCTGTGAAACGTTTTTGAACCGCTAGCTATAATCTTCAAAAGGCCATACAGAAAGAGAGAAGCCCATGGGGTAAAGTAAGGTGTGACATTTTTTGAGTCGACTAGTTGACACCTATTCCTTCCGTTGTGAAAAGGCAGCATGGCTGAAGATGTCGGTTGTCTGAGAGCGATACTTTACTACTATCATACATCTCTACAGTAACTTCTCTCCTGGATCTGAAGTTACTCCTTTTGGTCTGTAACCTACCTTCCTCGAATGGTAAGACCTAAAGAAGCATGTGTTCCAGCTAATAAAGCTCAGTTGAATCATCACAATAAGTAAGCCCGACCATGGTGGCAGCTGCGGTCGGGTTGGCCCGAAAATTTCATCTCTCTATGCTTATGTGGTATGGCACCTTGATTTGGTGTACATAAATACCTAGTTCTAGGCAGCAACTGACTGAAATTTAATATAACCGAACTTTCATCACTAACTTTATTAGTTGATCATTTAAAAACTTTTAGTCGCTTATTCTTGGTAATTTTTTTTCTTATAGAGAATAAAATATTTTGCCAGACAATTTATACCTTTTATGACAGAACATAGCAAAAATAAATTATGGGTCCAATGATTTATAAATACAGATTCATATCTAAAATATATTTGTGGTTCTTTATTATCATCAAGGGGAAAAGTTGATTCAGACCGATTAATGATTTTATAATCTTCTCTTTACTTATTCAACTAAATCTTTACACAATGATAGATAACAAGAAAGTGTTACATTCTGAATATATTACACAACAACTGACTTGTATATTTAAAATTAGCTTTCCTGAACACGATTGGTCCGGTGTTTATTAAGTTCTAGTTTTTCACCTTATTTCTCTTTGGTCTCGATTATTCCCCTGGAGAAGCTTCAACCAGTATGCTGGATAAAACAGTAGAATTAGTAAAATTGCAATCACGTTGATTATTTCATATATAATTTTTCATTTACTAATCAGTAGGTATCCAAGATAAATTACAAAGGTTCACCACACTGATACCTAATTTAGTTTTTCCTATGCTCTTCGACTTTACAGTTACATCATATGATTGGTTCCCTTTACGAATCGGCGGAATAAAGCCAGAACAATAAATGAGATAAAATAATATGAGTTCGTAGTTTCGCATCAGCTGCTTTCAGCTACATATGTATTAAGGTGTAACATTAAGATATGATACAATATGAAACAATCGATATGGATGACAGAAAGAATTAAAATAACAAAGATTATCAACAGTAACTATATATAATTATGTACATATATATATATCTGTTCATCAACAGGTGTCAGATCATTTGCAAGTTCAAGATACGTGGGCACTAATTAAATCAATTTCGGAAACTAATAAGTTGAGTCGTATGACAATTATAGAAGCTGTGAAGAGTGTACACAAGTTTTAAATCACTTGGAAGTAGCTATAGAGAATTCAGAGCAATCGTTTAGAATCCAAAACTGATGGGTTATGTAATAAACATACACTATTTGAGGAGTTCAAGTATGTTTAAAGAGTATTCAAACTTTCAGTGATTCAATCAGCTAATAAGTAAAATAAACAAACTAAGCCATAGTTTACTGATTAGCTATTTACATTCCAATAGATGTTCCATTCAAATTAAACACGCTATAGGTTGTGTACATAGATTCTAATGAATATTGAAACCTAGTTACTTTACACTTATATTCCAATAATTGAAATTTCATTGATTTTATAGTCAGTTTGTGTGGTAACGTACAATGCCATCAATATGCCACATGTGAAAGAGGACAATGCCGTTGTATCGCTGGTTATGATGGTGATGGTTATTCAGACTGTCGACCACTTACAGAAGGTATGATTGACTTCGTGTTAAAATAATTTCACAATATTTTAAAGTACCCAAACAAGAGTTTTGAAATTGTTTCATAAGTTTTTTATCGAGTAAGCTGTGGTGATATTCCTTTGATTTCAGGTGAGTATTAATGAAAGTACAAAACAGAGTATTATTGATGACACATTCACATAATAATCTCTTTTTGATCAGTAGCATTTGGTCAGCAGGTTTAGAATGCATATTATCAGTTGAATGTTCATTGTTAAAGCATATATTTATTGTTGATAGAAAGGAAACCCCATAATTTCCAAATAAATTAACTTCAATGCAGCAGTCATTCATGTTTACTTATACAGTGTAACATATCAACTAACTATTTTAATACCATTTCATGTAGCTAACATCTAATCACATAGTTTATATGTTAGTTGGTAAAGCCAACTAAGATAAATGAGGAATGATTAAAATGCTGTTCTTCTACATTATTTTAAAAACATAACTACTTACATTTTCTTTTTTCAATAAATAAGGAAATCTTGCTTAAAGATACCATTTTTGAATTGAGTATTTGTTTAGTGCCAGAGATATTTTGTGGGGCAATCGATAGTTTATTTTAATGTTCAATACTAAAAGTTGTTTCTAAATTTTGATTTACATTATAGATTTGATAGATTTTATTACTGGAAACATTTCTAAAATTATTCCTTATGTTTATCAATAGATTTTCAATAACAATGAATAGAGACTATTAATAATAGGATTACATGGTTAATAATGTATCCAACGTTAATGAGTTAAGAAACTGCTTCATATCTTGTAAGTACAGATACCTAGTACAGATACCTCTAGTTTTGACTTTCCAAACTTATCTCACTGAATTATACTTCTTGAATAATATCTTCTAATCCTAACCTCTCTGATTACTTCTAATTCCCTTACTACCTCTTCTACTATTGGATTTGAATTGACGATTACTTCTCTGTGCTGATGTGGTATGGCAACATGAACTGATGTACTTATGTACAAAGTTCTACGTTGCATCTGACTGACTGACTGAAGTTCAGATACCAAAGGTTGACGTAACAATAATTTCAAATAGATTAAGAGTTGGGTTGATTTATTCTCTGAGTCACAAAAAAGTCAGAGAGATTTTGCATTTTCTACTCATTCGGATAGAACAAATATATTATTTTTATTATTAACAATCCACTCAATACTCACTTTAGTTGGAAACTATCAAATTAAATGTTGGTAATGTCACCTATAAAATTGGGTCGTTAGTTATTAATGTCGAAAACGAAAACTTATTGATAAAAATATGAGTGGAAATAAGAATTATTAACTGGGAAGACGTTACCAGTAGATTTCAACCCTGTAGGGTGTAGGCAGTAACTACCAACGACAAATGGGTGTGGTCGCGCAAAGTCCCTAGATCAATCAGAGTTAGACATTAACACTGTTGGATGCCGGCACAGTAGTCCGGAGGTTAGGCGTTCGCACACAATACAAAAGGTCTCGGGTTCGAATCCTGAGAGGTGCAGGGGTCGTGGATGCGCACTGCTGATGAGTCCGATAACAGGACGAAACGGTCGTGCAGTGATTCCAAGTTTCTAATGAAGGTCTAACATTGATTGACTGATGATTTCAAATGTATGAAAACACTAATCTCCATAACTCTAATTGAAGATATCAACTCTTTCTCATGTAGTTCATGTCAATTATTCAGAGAATAAATAAAGATGTACTAAAAGCCAATAACTTGTTCATGAATTAGAAATCAAAGCAAATATCACTGATCGGTAATATTTTTCAATCTACTCTCAAAGGACGACATCAGAACTGAAAAAAACATTACAAAACAGCATAGAGTTAAAGTATTCTACAATAGCGAATACACAGACATAGTTCACAGAGAACCATGTTTGACCTGAGTGATCTGACATTAATGTGAATGTATTAAATATTTGATGTGAATGATTCTTTGTATTAGTTAAATTTATATCAACTTGAACTAGTGTTTTTTACGCTTCAAATAAGTGTTTTATTGTAATCTAAGAAATGAAGAATAGTTAATCTTTTTTTCATTGCAATACTAAACAGATACTGACATTTTTATAATGTTAATTAGTATCTCATTACCAAATGTTAAATTATTACTAGCAGATAAGTGTGCACAAGTAAGATGCCATCCAAATGCTCAGTGTATTGATGGATACTGTTCATGTTATACTGGTTTCGAGGGTGATGGATACTACGAATGTAAACGAATCACTCAAGGTAGAATGATGCATGTCTTGCATTTGTGTTGCATCCTGGTCAATGCATGATTTTATAACTTGATATCAGTACTGCATATGGACTCAGAGTCACTATAATGTGATATAATAATATTCTAGGATATTTGAGTAAATCATCATAATTTATCATGCCTAGAATAAGTTACAGAATCGTCTATGTACGAATGTGTGCAAAATAGTTTGACATTGTGTTAGGATATGCATCCAATATCCTAAGAGAATTATTGGTCAATTCCTATGGTCGTCCTAGATATCAATGTCACATACTCCAATGTTTTTTCTTATTGGTTGTTCTAACTATCAATGTCACTTCAAATGTTGCTTCTTATTGGTCGTCTTAACTGTCAATGTGACAGACTTCGATGCTGTTTCCTAATCGACCAAAATGTATAAATATGCATTATCTGTAACGTTTTATGATCAGGAACAGGACCCGGTCCCGGATCCCTAGTCCAAGATCTTGATTCTCTTCTGGATTCGGACCTCGTACTTTCTGGATGCTTGTAGAATACACGTTCTACTTCACATCAAGTATCGTCTTCTTTTACTCAATATGGGGGTTGGGATAATCGGATTTGAGTAGCATAGCGTGTCACCGGATCCTCGCTTTCGTTTTTCTACTAGGTAAACTCGTAATAGTTCAAGCATATCAGAATGACGTGTTTACGTGCAGGGGTAACACATTGAAACTAGAGATTACCATCCTGTTCTATGGAATAGAATAAAGTTTTGAAACCGTTATACAAATACTGTAATCATGACAAGCTGAAAGTTTGAAAACTTAAAATAACCTGATAAGGTTGTCAATCTACTACAGTTTACTAATTTGTTGAATGAAAGATCAACATTAACTTGAACACATTCATTTTTGGATTATAAAATAAAATCGTCAAAGTAATTTTAGGTACATTTTTCAACCGACTGTAAACTTGCTAAGCTAATTGCTCGAAAAAAGTACAAGAGAGAAATTTTTATTTAACAAAAGTATCGGTAATTGTGTTCTTAAACCTATATTGTAAGTTTAAACAAAATATGAACTATCATTATGTTTGACGTAATTTTGAAGAGGTTTTCGTGCACTAATCTCAATCTATACCGTCATTTTACTGCGTATCCACTCCTTATTTTTCATTTGGGTAGTGATTTCTTACATCTTATTTTCCTTAAAGTTACATGCATACCTTGCAAATCAATTCATGTATTTGCCAAAAGTTCAAGCTTTTCCTACTTAAAATTTTACTGTTAATTGTTGATGTGTGCTTTTGATTGGTTTCTAAATAATGTTTTTTTACAATATTATAAAAACCCTTGTTTTTTTTCATTCAGTTCATTCATTTTCCTACCGACTTGTTGTTTTACTGTACTCTTTGAAATGTAGGGTTGTATGTACAATTATTTAGTTACAAATGATTCACATCTGCTTATAGAATTAAATGAATCTTTAAGAAAATTCTGGAAATAAAATAAATAAATACAATACCATACTTCAGAGCTTCCATCTGTAAAAATTATTCAAGTTCACCAACCTATGTAAAATGAAAGAAGCACTCCTGCATTAGTTTGATGATAACTTAAAGGTTGTACTAAGCTTAAAGTGATAGTTATCATCATGAAGCGTCGAAACAAACACAATAATAATAATAATAATTTGATGCCAGATTTCTAAATCACCTGTTGTAATCGAATTCGTCAATATAACATGAATGAATTGGTGAGATTATTTTAACTTTTTCCTATCTGCATGTAAGCAAATTTATATTTGGTATGCAACGTGCTTCTCAACATTGCACCAACTAGTACAGTATTACTTTTAAAAAATATAAGCAAAAAATGTTAATATTTTTAGATCGTTGTGCGAATGTTCAGTGTCATGAAAAAGCTAAATGTGACGACGGATATTGTCGTTGTACAGAAGGATTTGAGGGTGATGGCTACAGGGAGTGTAGACGTATAAGTGAAGGTGAGTAAATATGGCAAGGCATCACAACCTAATAAGCTAGCTAACATGAGGAAGAGATTTTACATGTGCATGCTTTCTTCGAAAGTAGTTAGATAGATTGTGTGTGTGTGTTTGTGTATGTTATGCTCAATGTT